TATGTGGTGGTTGTGAAGTATGTGGTAGGTGGTGGTTGTAAATTAATGGTAGGTAGTGGTTGTGAAGTATGTGGTGGTTGTGAAGTATGTGCTAGGTGGTGGTTGTAAATTAATGGTAGGTAGTGGTTGTGAAGTGCGTGGTAGGTGGTGGTTGTGAATTGTGTGGTAATTGGTGGTTGTAAATTAATGGTAGGTAGTGGTTGTGAAGTGTGTGGTCGGTGGTGGTTGTGAATTAATGGTAGGTAGTGGTTGTGAAGTGTGTGGTCGGTGGTGGTTGTGAATTAATGGTAGGTAGTGGTTGTGAAGTATGTGGTAGGTGGTGGTTGTAAATTAAGTGGTAGGTGGTGGTTGTAAATTAATGGTAGGGAGTGGTTGTGAAGTATGTGGTGGTTGTGAAGTGTGTGGTCGGTGGTGGTTGTGAAGTGCGTGGTAGGTGGTCGTTGTGAATTGTGTGGTAATTGGTGGTTGTAAATTAATGGTAGGTGGTGGTTGTGAAGTGTGTGGTCGGTGGTGGTTGTGAAGTGCGTGGTAGGCGGTGGTTGTGAATTGAGTGGTAGGTAGTGGTTGTGAAGTGTGTGGTAGGTGGTGGTTGTTTAATGTGTGTGGTAGGTGGTGGTTGTGAATTGAGTGGTGTAAACAAAACGCTTGCTCGCGGATCTCGTCCCATACGAAAACAACATTTTCCGTGGTTCCAATGGTTCCACGACGTCACTAGGTTACCGCAAACACTTTGCTAGGTAGTGTATGGATCCCATGATATTTCTTACTTCTGCACCATCATTGGGTTTGCTCATATTCCTAATTTTGGAAAGTTCAAGCATTCCAACTGATGTACGTGATTACCTACCTATGTAGAGAACTGACGTGACATTTGTTTGAGTGTTCCGAATTTGTTCCGGCAACACTCGAATCAACAATAATCTTTTATAATAATGTAACTTGAAATACATGCATGCAGCAACCCCTCGCTATTTCAAACCAAGTACACAATTTCCTGAGTTAACCTGACCTAAACTTATATTATGAAATGACACAAAACTCAAATCAGTCTTATTATATTTTACCGAGTATATTATAGCTAATGTTTCCATCATTCAATACAAAAATAATCATAAAGCTAGTGTAAACATTGCCCGTTTAATTTTGCTGCATTGTACCATGTCAAGTTTCAAACGATTAAAACAGTACAAAATCTTCACAGACAAATAAAAAACTTCAAATGTTATTTTATTCTGTATTTTGCAGTCGCCGCCGGCGGCTAAAAGTTTTATACTTTATAAATATAGTTTGTATTTTTTATACCAAAATTCAAATTACACTTTCAAAAACACTTTTTGAAGTTAAAGCAAAGGTGTAATAGCCTTTCACAGGTTTATGCGTTTGCATAAAAAGCTGAAAATTTAACAAATAAACGGCATACAAAGCTGAAAAGTATACAAATACGGCTCATTCTTATCGCGAAACAAATACGAAATAAACAAAGTAAACACGTATCTTTTGTCTTTGAAAACATTTATAAGTTTGCAGATTATGAATTATTCCTCTTACACGGCTTTGTCTTGACCGTATCCACGTTCATCTTTGCTAACTGTCATGCTTCATATATTTTGTTTCTTCTCGTTTTACTTTCTTTGCACAAAGTTTATGAAACGCTTTTACAAAAATGTTTACGAAATGACAGTTAATATAAATTGCTGGGGCCGGTCGTATGAAAGCCGGATAGCGCTATCCACCGGATAGTGATTTTTTCAACCGTTCTAAAAATGCTTGAAAAGCTATAAAATCTCAGCTTTGGAACTAAATATTATTAAAGAGGATCCTCGACTTAGGAATACTAAGATTTAATCAAAGTTATACCTAACAACAGGTGATTTAAAAGCGATTGAAAAAAAACACTATCCGGTGGATAGCGCTATCCGGCTTTCATACAACCGTCCCCTGACGTTCTCATTGAAATACAAACTTTCTGTCTTCGCCAATCAGAACGTTCGTTGATTACCAGACGTTATTCGCGCATGCGCATAACTTACAAAACCACCCAACGTCGACCGTCCATGACAAAGAATTTGGACAACTTTGGATTCGCCTATGTTCTACCGGGTGTAATTCCTAATCTCCGAGCGGAATTAGTACCCTCGCAGGCGCTCCGCGCCCGCTCGATCCCAAACTGTACACTTATGTCTCCCAAATACTCTCAGCTCACTAGAATTCTCAATAGTAATACGTTGTCAACACGTTTTTTTGTCAGGCGATTCGCCTGATCTTAAAAAAGGTCACCCGCGAGCAGGTGACAACCACTGATCTATATGTAGTTCCTATCATGAGCAGGATTTTGACATTGTTGAGTTTCACTTTTCTTCCTCTACAACGTTTTAACAGCAGCTTCAACTGAACATCGTGGTCTTTCACTGCTCTGAACTTTCGCAATCGATTACGAATTGAAATATCATCAGTAGCCGTCTTAATGCGTTCTAAATCTTCGATAACTTGATAAAAAATTATTCTCCGGCTCGAAAAGCTTTTGTGGTATTTAAAGAACGCAGCAAAAATATAATAAATAATGACATTGTTTAAACAGTTCGAGTATTTGCGCGGTTTGGACCGTCTAGTCTACATTCCTAGAGACTTGTAATTAAGTTTAATATTGCCAAGGGTACGGTGTGATATTCGAGTGTAAACGAATGTTAAATAAGGCATTTTCCATTCGTACGAATGTTAGCAATGGTAAGGTCATTTAGCGTGCATGCGTGAGACCGTGCTCAGCAGGAGAAAATCGCAGCATGACACAATTGACGATACGAAAACACTTACACCATTGGTACAATTTTCCTTTTACCATTGGTATACGTTCATGTTCGTATTCACAATACGAAAATATAGACTACCAATAATAAAATAACTTTGTCTATTGGTACTTGCTACAATATTGGATACGTGCGGGTGATTTTAGCAACGATGCTTAGAAAGAATTTTAATTTCTTTGTTGTTGTCTCGTTGCTTCGCTAAATTTCCGGCGAAACTTTGCAAAAACCTTTTACGCACTGACTTTCCCTTTAAATTGATTCATGCAATCTCGTATAGCAATGTTGCCTGACGACACTTGCAGATAAATTGCGGCATCTTGCTGGAAATTGGGAAAGCCATCGCGTATATTGTTGGATTAATTGTTTCACCGTATCTCTCGTCACGCCTGTTAAACTTAAAGCGTTCGTAGGTTTCATTTGTCTCAACAATAATTAAGAGTCTCTTCAAATTTCTTTATAGCTGTAGCAAAACCGTCTTTATCATTCCAAACCGTAAAATGCATCTGATCTTTCAAACATTCCCATCGCTTAATTCGCATATTGCCTAATTACTAACAAAAATGCGTCTTCACTTCTTGAATTGCTCTTCGCATTCATCTAATCGAGAAACTATACAGACCATAGCATAAGTCTCCCATCCTCGATGAAATACTGCCATAGTATTTCTAGAATATGAAATTTTCGCTTTGCCTTTGGCTTTTGCCTTCGACTTCAAGCCTGTCTTGATCTGTATCACTATCAGACATTCCTTAGTGCGACTAAATGTCTTCCCGAACTAAAACAACGCTGCATGTTCACAACCCTACATCTGAAACCATGTTCAGTGGGTTTAACATAATTACATTTCAAAATAAGCTTTCTTATGTGAACTTCACAGCGTCTAAATTAACAGTGACTAAACATTACGTCTACATCAGGCAAAAACTTAACAAAAAGCTCGCCTTCCATGCACGATAAGTATCGCAACAGCTAGCAATCTAGTGTTTATTCAACATATTTGACCAACCAAAGCCTGTCTGTAATCGTAACACTGAATCTGACAAGAGGTATCTTGTCCACAATTTGATTTGCTCATGACATGTAAAGAGAAACAGCCAACATTATATGACCGGCACATTGTGAGAATTAAGTGTTATATAGTGTTACACAAAATGACTCAACTCAGACCAAGCTATCGATCAGCTATGCATCATGCTGATGTATGTTTGTGTGGTGTGTTCATCATTAAAATTTCTAAGATTCTAAATGTTAAACAGTTCATCTAACTTGCTAATATATTGTATTATTTATTAATAGTTTGAAATATTCTCGCTAGACATTTTCGGTATGATCTTGAATTGATAATCAAATATTGATAAGTATTTTAGGGTGTAGCCGTAAGAACGAGATTGCTGAAAAATTTAATATAAAATGATTCAATATTACACAATAAAAACAATCAAAACAAAGTAATACCTTTTTATTCCAAGTACAACAGAGCGCGGATATCAGTAATCTATTGAAAGATTGTTTTACCAGAAGAAATATGACGAACTAATTCGTTTGTTTTTTGACCGCATAATTCATAAATAAGAATTATCAAACCAGTGACAGTTTACTGTCTGTGGAATAAATTTAAGTATTCCTTGGCGTGCATGTGAAGTTCCTCAGTTTTCCTGACTTAAATTTTAACCTTACTGGGGGTGAGTTAATAACTTCTTATCAAGACATCGATATCGGACCCAGGTCTCTTTGCAGAAAAAGTATCATTTGATAAAAAAAGTACCAAAATATTGCATTATATAACTTAGCTAAAACCGTCTGGAGCCATCTTACTAAATTTAATAGCAATTAAATTTGCCTTTCAGAATTAATTTGTTCCATTTTCTTTTCATCTTTAATACAGAAAAACAGAAGCAAAACCGTAAATTTTGTGAATCTATAGTTTTTAATCAACCGTCGAATAGTTTCACTCCAAAGTTTGTTGCCCTTTCGGTGCACTTTGGTGTACATTCATCAAGTGTGAAACTTGAATTTCATTGTCACCAAACTCCTCAAATATTTCAGCTATTTTGTTTACGTTTCTCTACTAGACCGATATGAGCTAATAGCTCATTATATCTGTATAATAGAGAGACAATAAGATTGCACATTAGATCATACAGTGCTTGTGTATGTAATAAATCCATTTATTCTTAATGCTACGAATGAGCGCAGTATATGCTTCCCGTGGCTGGGTCATTGCGATATCAGAAGCAGTTCAAAACTTTCTCGTAAACATAACAGTTTCTACAAAATGACGAGCTGCTTTTTTATTTTCGCATCGTTTGTTTTTTCCAGGCTTACAATTAGTGCAAACTGGATCGCTCTTTGCACAAACACATTCTTTGTCTACACCGTCCATTGCCGTTACAACGACAGCATCGAGTCATATTTAAACTACAAACAACTACAATACTTACTTACGTGGTGTACCTACAAGCTCCTTCCTGGGTTTTATAGTATTATATTCATTCTTGTGATTTAATTTGCGGGCCTGAAACGACTACATGCAAACTTCTACCCCGGCAACTTAGCAGGGGCGTGGCAAACGAGCTAGGATTGCAGGGGGTGTCACGTAATATTGTCCCAATTTTGATAATGGAAATGAAAATTTGTGTATGACATGGGTGTAGGAGATTGGTAAACTTTTCTACGAGTATCACAAGCATTAAATATTCATAAATACTGAAACAAATGTTGCAGTTGTATATTTGATCAATTTTCTTACAAATAACAAAGCAATTTGACCAACTTATTTTATCATTAACTATAATACCTGGGTATCATAGTTTCATTCTTGTGCTTTTAGGCCAGTTTGCTTGTCTGAAACGATTTCAAGTAACCCCTCACATACACCCCTCTCCCCAATCGCCACGCCCATATTGGCAAGCCGAGCTGGCCCGCTTGACACAACCACAGCGCGAGCTGAACCGGTTGCATGTAACCGAAACGTTTGAATTGACTATAATAAACTATAGGGAACGGGCCAGCCTCGCCCATGCAATCCACCCCTTACATAATGACGCGGGTTCACATCACTATGCATGGACCTATTCGAAATAGAGTAAGAGGCCTATTGCGAGATACACAAAAACGAGGCTAGTCAGGTTTTCTACTGCAAAAATTCCAGAATAATTTGTTTACTTCTAAATTTTGAATGAAGGAAACATCGTCTTTTGTATCTTGTGACATGAAATAAATATGGTTTTGATATTGGAAAAAAATAAGATCTGATTATAGCCTGACCACGCCAAGAAATTGTGCATCGCCACAGGCTTCTTTCTCCTCTTCCAAAAGGTTTATGTACTTTATCTTCCAGAGGAGCTTCAAAAATTGCTTTAGAATATAAAAATGGAATGCTAAAAACTTCTGATAAACGTTTGCCTGACAAAACAGAAAACTAATTCTCAAAGGAAAGATATCCATGATTAATTACTCATTCCAGCTATTTTAGATCTTGTTATTCACTTAACTCAAGTCTCTGACTAAATTAAGAAAGATTAACAAAAATATCCTTCATTTTTCCTCGCTACGAAAATATTTTCTTTCAGATTTTAATTTCTAATGGAAGAAATCATATTTTCCAATCTAGTGACAGCTACACCTTTAGTGTTCAGGAAAATAACATAAACAATTGAAAATATATTCCTTTAGTCACAACGTAATTTTTTTGGGGTTTTTTAAAGCCTTTTTTTACTCAAAGCGGAAAAACATGTAATAATGATCCAGGTTAATTATAGAAGGATTTTTCGTTCATCGTCTTCCGTTAGGAACTGTAAAGCAAGTAAAGAGGGCTATTATACTGAACCACTGTGTGTAGAATAAACTGATCGCTTAACAAGTAAGATGCTGAATATTCATGTACGCTTATCACAAGTACACAAAGGAAGTATGTGAATTAATCGATCACACACGCAGGTTATAAAAACCCAAAGCAGGAAAATCTCTTGGATACAAAATATATTTTAAAAATATTTTTGTACTAATATTACACAGTTCAAACGTTTTCATAGACGCTTCCGTGTTTGTTAAATCCGTTGACTATGTTAAAGTTAATTCGCTTTTTTTTAAATATATATGTATATATCAGACAATTTACGTGCGATTCGCCGTTAAAAACACTGAAGAAATTCCGTGCTTAACAATTTACATCACGAAAGGAAAAACTAAAAAAAACGTTTCAACGATTTCCGTGGTTTTCGCATTTCAGGACGTTCCATAGCTGAACGTTTTGATTTACGCGTGGTTTTCGCATTTAAACAAGAAATCGGATTCTAAACTACTTACATCAAGAAAGGAAATCTTAGAAATACTTTTCAATATTATGAATTTTGAAATATTTGTTGACATTTCTGCCAACGAACAGAAGGCAACGCGTTGATGGAAGAAAGAAAGGAAATACACTTCTAAAAAGGGAAAAATCACGAACGTCTCTGGAAGCTATGATTCTGCCTTCCGACACCTTAACGAAATGTATCCAATCTCTTTCGAAAATAGCGATCAAATCAGAATCGATACAAGAAGCCACTGTAAAGTTTCTAATAGGAAGGTTATGAAAATTTTGCGCATCATTTGGGAAACTAATAGAAAGTAAACAAAATATAGACAATTCATCTCTTGTCAAGAACACTGCATTGCGAGCCGTTTTTGTACCAGATAAAGACCACCAACGAATATCCAGTTGACCCAACTCTCCGGTTGAACGTACAATCCATGTGTTGCCACATTTTATTTCCCACAATTCATAAGGTGAAACGACGAAATCACACAATAATAACATAACAGCACACCCATCAGAACTTATTGCGACAGAAGGGTCAGTAAACCTACATGACGGCGTTTCCTGATGACACAGTTTTTCGTTACAGATTTTTAAAATATACAGTTTCCGATCGCCGTAAATCACAAGAACTCCACTTTTAAATGCAAGGACACGTTCAAAATCTACAATAGATTCTGCATGTTGACTTCCTAAGATATTTTCCCTCCTAGGTTCATAACGATATTTAACAACCAGACCTTCACAAACATACCAAAGATACGACTCTGACCACCAACATGCTAATGCTCGTTGTTTCAGTGCAACAGTTTGCAATGTTTCTCCACTCTTGACACTTCTTATTGAAAGAAGGAAATTTTCAAAACAGCACGCAACATACAAAGTGTCTGGAGATAGTGCACGACAAACTATTTTGGCATTGTCAACAAAAGTAGCATCAGGCCATTCGAGAAGAGATTTGAAGGATAAAACACTGAGTACTTGGACGGGAAATGTTAAAGATAAAAGGAAACTCGTCCCATCTAATTTCGAAATGTAATTGACACGAGTGTCCCAAGGCAAAAATCCAATCTCAAACACGTCAACGATCTTTTGATTTATGAAATCGTACACTAGCAAAGCTAAATCATTTTTCAAATCATTTACGAATGCAACACACTTTCTGTTTTTCCACAAAAAGACTTTTGAACAATATTTATTGGAAATTATAACTTTCTCACCAAATGGCAAACAGATATAATTCATTTTCATTTTAACATTCGCGTCGGAAAACGAATGAGGCGGGGAAAACATTTGAAAGGAATCATTACTACACAAATTCTGATCAACACGAATATTCTTGTTATCAATCTTTTCTAAAGTTTCAGAATTCAAGACGTTCATGTAATGTAAGACTGGGGAACCAGATCTTTCCTCACCCATTGGCCAAAGAAGAATGTACGAGTTACAATTACTAAACAAACAATAAGAATGCTCACCATACACATTCTCAACTTCAACCAATATATTCTTGCTTTTTACATCCCACACTTTGATTGACGTTTTCTCTAATGTGACAAGTTTCATTCCACATGAAGAAAATGAACAGCGACTGATGTCATCGGGGCCGTGCGTAATGAAGGGGACCTCTTTCTTTTCTTTAATATTGATGCAGAACCGGATTGAATTGTATAAAATATATGAAGAGTCTGGAGAAAAGGCAGAGAATTGGCAAAAAAAATTTTTACTAGTAAATTGTGCCTCAAAGATAGTTGTAAGATCTGGTATTTTAAGCATTTTAAATGTTCGCTCATCCGCATGTAAGCAAGCAAGCATCGTCTGGTCCGGTGACATTAAAATATCAAAAAGTGAATCGCCTGTAAACGCAGTTTGGGGGACAATGCTTAAATTAGAATTGCTTTCAGTTGTCACATATTCTATCCAAATCTCATTTGTCGCACCCAAGATATCCCTAGCTACACTTTTGGAATTTACGGCACCTTGTGAAAAATCAAAGTGCCCATTAGCAAGTGCTTGCAAATATTGGTAACAATGATTTTTTCCAGAAGTCTTAAATATTCCAATCCCAAAGCTAAATGTTACCATTTGGGAGAAACAAACGCGTTGAATGATACCCCAAAAAATATCCTTGGCAAGTTTAGAACGGTACGTGTCAAGAATTCGCCTTAAAAAAAACTTGTTCAGGTCATCAAAAAATTTTAGTTTCAAGAAGTTTATACCAACATGCACCAACCAATGAAATTCAACTACCTCGCCTGTATCGACCAAATATTTCAAACCATTTTCCAAAGCATACCTATTCTCGGGTGAAATTTGGAATTCTAAAACAGACTTCAAAGCATCTATCTCGCAGAATTGTTTCTTACAAGCACGCCAGAGACGTCTATTGCCGTCTTCAACATCTGCAACGAATGCATGTTCTTCATAACCGTTCAATGTCAGCCAATCCCATAATGACTTATGATAAAAAGTCAGACACCCATCGTAAACTGGAAGAATCTCTGACATTAGGTCAAGAACCGCTTTACGTATTTTAAATTCGTCTTTAGAAAGACCCATGCATGTGAAGAGAACTTTTATTGGGAGCGCTTCCTTAGAAACGGCAACGACATTGATGAAACTGTTTAAGAGACATGAGGTATCTTGCTTGAAATGTTGGAGGCCTCTTTCTAAACGTGTGAACTGCTTTATGTAATGTCCCGAAATACCGTTGGAGATGTAATCACTTAGATCGGGTTCAATTCCCACGCCCTTTTCTTTTAATTCACTGACCAAGTAATAAGCGTACAAAAACGATCCCTCACACTTTGAAATAACTGACCTTATACTATTATCATCAAAATTAGGCAAACTATGACGAACTAAAAGCTCTATGTCGTGGTTGTGATCTTCGTCATCAGGACGGATTTCACACGGGTGAAGATGTTCAAGACTATTTCGTACTTGTAGCTCTGGTCGACTTGAAATGAATATCTTAATCCAATCAGGCAGTTCACAAAATCTCTCAGATATCAACTCCAAGAATTCGCTTTTCTCGTCAGTTTTGCTCTCGTCCAAAGCATCAACGATGATCAACATTGGATCGTGTCTGTCAAGGGCATGGAGGGGGTCGTTCAAAAGAACACGAAATGCGTCTGACAGCGAGTCACGAGAATGTTCACGACGAAGAATTTCAGTTAGTTTATCACAAAATCCTTCAACATTATCACACATTTGACTGGCAAGGGACTGAAGAATTCTCTGAGGATTGCTGGAATCAGAATTTCGAAAGTCACAGAAATGGTGAGCTGCGAGTTGACCACGTTCTCTAAAAAGGTCGGAAAGCTTTGCAGACAAAACACTTTTTCCAACGCCTGGACCTGCAGTTAGGATCAAGACCCTGGATTTTACACTCCCAAACCAACTTGAAAGTTCATCAAACAACCACTTTCTAGTGCCATCTTGAAATTTTCCACAAAGCTCACGAATCTTTCCAGCAAAGTTAAATTTAGCCAGTTGCTCGACATGCGAGGGATGGACATTTTCAACTGTCTTTCTAAGTTTGAATACTTCACTTTCAACATCGTTTAATTTTGACATAAAATCATCCTCTTGTTGTTTCCACTCTTTCAATCTTTCGATATAACTTTCTTCTTCAGGGCTAAGAGGAGCCACCTTTAATTCATCAATATCATTTTGAGGAATTCCCAATTTGACTAACGGAACAGAAATTTCTTTCCACAATGTTTCAAACGTTACGTCGTCCAAACCAGCAGTCGGAATATGACCATAGACTTCATTTCTAAACATTTTGACTCTTAAAATATTTGCAGATATGGAAGTATCGGTGACTGGAGGCATCACATTCCATCCGGTGGCTGGTGCAGACAATCCACAAATATTTCGGAGCAGGACAGTCAATAGGGTAATATCAAAGTTGTTTGAATCTGGTGAACCAGATCTTGGGAAGAGTAGATCCCATTGCGGGGCTTTAATTACACTGTATCGTATTCTCTGTAAGGTCTTCTTGTTTGCATTCAATACGGAAGCTAAGGTGGAAGGTGGATGCACCGCATGCAAAGCATTTCTCAAAACATCTCCACCTTTATCTACCAACAAATGACATACCCTGGAATAATTAGCTTTGGCTTTCAATGGATCCATTGTTGTCTTTAAATATCAACTTCAGAATCCTAGGAATGAGAGACACAAACTGTCAGGATAATTTTTATAACACTATCGTACAAAGGTTGTATGGTTATCAATCATAAGCTTTTTAAAGTGATATAAACAACTAAAAAGCATTTTCACTTGGATTTGCGTTTGGTGAGAGTGTGGAGATCTACCTCATTTTCACTAATTTACTAGCCTGTGCACAGACGCAACGCTTCCTCATAAATTACGTCAGTGCACAGGCTACTAAACTACTGGGGCCGGTTGTTCGAAAGGCGTTTAGCTTAAACGGTGGATAAGTCAAAAATAGAAAACCAAATTATCAATTTATTGAACAACTGAGCTGAAATATTTCGATGTAAATATTTTAATGGTCAATGGAAGTACATATTAAGTGCATAAGATGCGGGTTCAGTCATTCACAAGATGTATGAGAGTATTTTTAGACTTTGGCTTATCCACCGTTTAAGCTAAACGCCTTTCGAACAACCGGCCCCTGAAGATTTGGGAGTGCTAATAGACAGCATTTTTTAAATATTAAGAATAAATAAATAAATTGCCTTTACTTTTGCATAATATTCACACGTATAATATTTAATACGATGCTACAAAAAATCATTCTCGAGGACCCTGCCTATTCAACCAAATTTTCAGCTGTTTGGATAGTTTTCTTTCAACGTATCTAACCATAGGTAGCCCAACACTCGTGTTCCGCGCGCGTACACGCTAATCAGTGATCAGCATATATTAATTTATCCTAAGTTTGGCAACTTTATCACCAATTATCAATAATATAACACATACATACATGTCAAACTTCGATAAAAACTGAAAAACTACCACAAAATAATGCAAAATTAATAAATATAAATGAACTTGAATATATTTTTTAAAATCCGACATAGTTTTTAGCTTCAAAATGTATTGGGAAATACGGAAATTTGTTCATTAAAAATAAACTTTTTGAAAATACATTGTCGAAATTTTCTTGTCGATTGGCGGGATCCAATTTACCCTACAATACCTTCGGACATATCCGGAGTCAATCCTATTGGCTGTTCTCTCGTGGAGCAATCTTCGGAAATTTTCCGACTTTTCAGCAGCCAATAGGATAAATAGGATTGACTCGGGATTTCTCCGAAGGTGACGTAATGTAGGGTAAATTGGATCCCGCCTATCGACAAGAAAATTTCGACAATGTATTTTCAAAAACTTTATTTTAAATGAACAAATTTCCGTATTTCCCAACACATTTTGAAGCTAAAAATTATGTCGGAATTTAGAAAATATATCCAAGTTCATTTATATTTACTAGAAGTTCTTATCAGGAGAAAAAATTGCTGCCGAAGATCTGAATTAAAAATCTTTGCAATATAACCAGGGAGCAGCGTGGCAGCATCTTCAAACATCTTAGCATCAAATGTGGTATAACAACTGCCCAAAATAGACAAAACACTCCTCAAAAGTGCTAAGTTAAAAATCTTTACTTAATTCAGATGAATTTTACGGATAACAGTTTTATTCAGAAACAAGGGAAACAGTGTGACATTAATAATGAGGGCACAATAACAAGATTCATGAACAAAACTTAACTGAAGTGGAAAAAGAACCAGCAGCATACAGTTAATCATACTTGATTATATATGATTATAAGAAAAACTTTGATATTTAAACATTTGAACAAATATATAATTTATTACAAAATATAACAAATTCAATATAACATCTATAAAACTGCTACTGGTGAGATAAAACTGACTAAGAAGTTACAGATCTATAATGCCTAAGTATTAATTGATAAGCTTTCCCCCGATTTTCAATAAAGTAACAATATATATATTATATATATATATATATATATATATATATTAATATATATATATATATATATATGTCGGAATTTAGAAAATATATCCAAGTTCATTTATATTTACTAGAAGTTCTTATCAGGAGAAAAAATTGCTGCCGAAGATCTGAATTAAAAATCTTTGCAATATAACCAGGGAGCAGCGTGGCAGCATCTTCAAACATCTTAGCATCAAATGTGGTATATATATTATTATATATATATATATATATATATTAATATTATATATATATAATTATATATATATATATATATATGTTTACTTGGAGTTGTATCTGGTTTAAAAACAATTTATTAAAAAGATTCTAGATTAAAAAGTACTAAATTTTCAGTAGCTAACTGCTACCTTCATCAGAGTTCTAATGTTCAAGCAGTATAGACAGACTATTATATAGTGTCACTATCCTTGCATGATTGAATAATTGGTATGTAAATTTGAGGAAAATGTTTATGCTCATTCACTGATCTTTTGTCCAAAACCGAGTGCAATGACTCAAGGAAGAGTCTTTTGTTTGCGTTATGCACTTTCTTTTCCAAAATCCTAGCATTCTCCATTGACACTTCATGACCGGTATTTTCTGCATGGTCTTTAATCGCTGACTTAATCTCTCGTCGTATGCCAGGTTTATGCTCAGCCCATCTCGATCTCCATGATCTTTTACTCTCGCCGATATAAGTGAATTGACAATCTGGACATTCAAACTTATATACAATGCCTTTTATTTCAGAATCTAATTGTTTATCTTTAGGTTTCCCAAGTATATCAACCAAATTTTGCAAAAGTCTATTTGACCGGGCTGATAATATCCCCTCAACCACCTTGAATAGAAAAAATGAGCGAGAACGAGCTAAAAAAGAACTTATACTTAATGGTTATCCTAACAAGTTCATTGACCATTCCAGTCAACCAACTCAAGCTCCATCTACACCTAGTAACGCCACTTGTTTCACAAGCATCCCATATGTAAGAGGGGTATCCGAACAAATCAAACGAGTTTTATACACCGCTGGCGTACATACGGCATATAAACCTATGCAAAATTTGGGTGATATACTTGGGACACCTAAAGATAAACAATTAGATTCTGAAATAAAAGGCATTGTATATAAGTTTGAATGTCCAGATTGTCAATTCACTTATATCGGCGAGAGTAAAAGATCATGGAGATCGAGATGGGCTGAGCATAAACCTGGCGTACGACGAGAGATTAAGTCAGCGATTAAATACCATGCAGAAAATACCGGTCATGAAGTGTCAATGGAGAATGCTAGGATTTTGGAAAAGAAAGTGCATAACGCAAACAAAAGACTCTTCCTTGAGTCATTGCACTCGGTTTTGGACAAAAGATCAGTGAATGAGCATAAACATTTTCCTCAAATTTACATACCAATTATTCAATCATGCAAGGATAGTGACACTAATAATAGTCAGTCTATACTGCTTGAACATTAGAACTCTGATGAAGGTAGCAGTTAGCTACTGAAAATTTAGTACTTTTTAATCTAGAATCTTTTTAATAAATTGTTTTAAACCAGATACAACTCCAAGTAAATATATTATAATATATATATAATATATATTATAATATATAATATATATATATATATAATATTAATATATATATATATATATGGTCTGAAAGGAAGAGTTGCAGCTCCTAAACCATTGCTATACGTCCAATAAATAAGCGGAAGAGATTGTTATGGGCGAAAAAGTATAAAAATTACAGCAAAAATGTACTTTTCACGGTTGAATCAAAGTTTGAAATCCATGGGAATAATCACCGTGTTTTAATATGTGAGAAGAAGAAGTGGTGAAAGATTGTCATCTCAGTGTCTCAGGTCCTCAGTGAAGTACGGAGGTGGAAACATCCAAGTCTGGGGTTGTTTCAGCTTTAACGGCGTTGGAGATCTTTATAAGATAAAAGGCAATCTTGAAAAAAAAGCAATACCATTCTATTCTCCAAAGGCATGCTTTGCCATCTGGCAAGAGGTTATGCGGGAGAGGTTTTACCTTGGTACAAGATAACGATCCCAAACACAGCTCTAACTTTTGCAAAAAATATTTAAAGAACAAAGAAATCCAAGGTGAATTGAAACTTATGGAATTTCCTCCTCAATCTCCTGATGTTAATCCAATCGAACATTTATGGGATGAATTAAAAAGAGAAAAAGTGAAACATGAAGTTACAAGCCATGACAGGCTATGGGATGTACTTTCTGCATGCTGGAATAAGGTTGAACCATCAACACTTCAAAATCTTGTTAAATCCATGCCAAAAAGAGTTCAGGCTATTAATTTAACAGCTAAAGGGGGACACACCAAGTACTGAAATTCGTAATTTGTATAAGTAAAATTAAACATTGTTGTGACATAGTTATAAATATGATTATATATATATATATAATATATTATATATTATATATATATTATATATATATATAATATATAATATATATATATTATATATATATATATAATTTGTTCGAGTTACCAGGGGTTCGAGTTAACCAGGGTTGGTTTCAGATTGCATTTATATTTACATACATTGGATTAATTGCCACAGTTCATGCGTTTATTTGCTAAAAGATCACCAATTTGCTAAAATATAGCCAATTTGATATTTGAAATGCCGAGGTAAAAGTGAATTATACTTTCTACATCCACATTCCTGAAAATCAGTACAGTAACAAATATAGTCAATTTGATATATATGTGACAGGCTAAGGTGAAAGTTAATCATACTTTCTACATTCTAATAATGTAGTAAATTTGGGCATAGAATCTGCATTTTCTAAACACTTTGATTCATGTCCATTGATGCATTGAAGGTAACAAGGTGTACACCATGCACCTTTATTTAACTACTAAGGTCTGCGTATATCATAGGTCAAACTTGCTCTAATTCACCCCAAACATTAATTGCAGTACCTGGTAGTATTATGTGAATTGCACATGATTTTATCATCTAGACATCTACAAATATTGAGGAAAGATATCATTGATAAAATACTGGTGGATTTATAAAAAAATGTATGATTACTCTCTCATGTTTTATTGACACTGTTTGTGTCTCAACTCTCAAATATTGGTGTCTGTAATTTGTGAATACTATTTACTCTCTCAGGCTCTCAATAGGACTTTGCCACATAAAATTGTGTTCAAATGTCTCTACCATGTACAATGAATGGGCTAATTCTTTGTGTCCCTCTAGTAAATGTTGAGCATCATGGGCAAAGTCATGCTGATGACTTTAGGGTTTTAAAAAACGGGCAGATCAGCTATCTGTAGAGTTATTAAATGAACATAATTGTACTGGTACAGTCTAGAACTAAGTGTCAGTTCAGAGCTTTTACATACATTTTTCTCCCTTTGAGCTTGTAATAAGACATTATAAAATGTAATCTTCGACCACGACGATTTAGAAAGGGAAAGTTTCGGGCCGTAAGAAGCGCCGATAAACTCATAAACGCACATTGTTTGCCTCTCGAGTATATACTAAAAAGTTCATCACCTTGATGGACATCGGCAGAAAGAAAAAAACCATACTTACCTTGTATTTTAAGGAAAATTTCGTTCAATAACTTGGCAGTCCGCAGTTTGCATTCGCACTCCAGCACATCGATATTGCACCAGATTGCACACGCGTTACAATTTACAAGATATAATCCGTACGTCCCCCTTTAATTTTTTAAACATACGCACGCTTAATTATTCCCCCGGAACAAAAATCTTTCAGGACAGACAGAAACGAATCCAAATTTGGACAATACATAAATGCGCGCAAAAGCCTGGGTCGAGTGAACTCTGGAGAAACATCAGCACGTCCAGAATAGGGTGCTGCCTCGCTGAGGCTCAGCAGCAATTAATTTTGCAGTGTTTTGTGGTAGTTTTTCAGTTTTTATCGAAGTTTGACATGTATGTATGTGATATATTATTGATAATTGGTGATCATTACCAGAAATTTGCGACATGATAATTTGCATATATACTAATTTGCATTTAACTTTCAGCATAATGGCCTTTTACTATTAAATACATATAGTAAATACACAAAATCTAAAAATGCCGTTGACCTAGATCTTGCCCACTGTTTGCCGACCTCTGGATCAATAAAACAGCCGTTTCCCAACGTTTTAATGATCGAATTACTTACCTTAGGTATTTCTACGTTCGGCCAAATGATTGTGAACAAATGGGTATATAGCCTTCGTATTATTCAAGTTACAGATAAGACTGATAATATTTTTTAAAGTGATTGCAGTAAAAATCCGAGCCGTACAAGAAAGTTTATACACAAATACGAAAGACAATATCTTCAACAATTTTTTTGGTACATTATACGTCAATTTATCAACTATCTGAATCGAAATATTCGAATCAATGTGAGCGATTTTAAAAGTTCGTGGACAGAACACGGACAAAACTTTGAGCAATATATCTTTAAACTTGGCAGAATGCAGAAATGCCCAAGCTAAAGAATTCTGTCACCAAAACGTTTCTAAACAGCTGCTCTACCGATCTAGAGGTCGGCAAACAGTGGGCAAGGTCTAGGGCAACGGCATTTTTAAGTTTTGTATAATTACCTAATGTATTTTATAGTAAAAGTTGAAGGCCATTATGCTGAAAGTTAAATGCAAATTAGTATACACGCAAATTATCATGTCGCAAATTTCTGGTAATGTAAAGTTGCCAACCTTAGGATAAATTAATATATGTTGATCACTGAGTAGCGTGTACGCGCGCGAAACACGAGTGTTGGGCTACCAATGATCTAACTGTAACTGAGTACGCATATTAAAAATACTCTTTTGCTACAGCTAGATATGTTGCAAAGAATGCTCCCAACTAACTAAACATTTGCTGGTTAAACTTGTATCAAACTACGTGGAAACGGGACCTTAGGTACAACACATTAGTGCAAGTTAGGCTCGTTTCAGACGTCGAATTTTTCATGTGCCAAATCCAGTGCAAAATGAACATGAATAGTCGATGTTTGAAAGGGGCCTCATTCATTTCTACGTCAAAGATATGCCGTAACTTATTAGGGTTTTGGGGTTTTAGTATTGGGCTCTGTGTTTAAATTACTCTTGAACTAGAATTGTTACTCGTTGTAATAGCTAAGACCGAACAGGTTATAATATGGGAAAGAGAAAGTAAATTTCAGCTATTTAAAAATAGTATAAAATATATACAAAATCTTATCAAGTCAGGTCCTATCAAAAAAGGAGACGTCTTTGAAATAACGGCGTATCAGCGAGGGAATGAGCTCCCTGGCGGAGACGTAGCTCTGGGACACACTATATAGGTTTTTCCTCTCATGTTTGTGAATGGTTCAAATCGTATCTTACTCACAGATGCGAAGTAACCGTCGTTTATAACAAGCAGTCCTCTGTAAAGCCTGTGAATGTAGGGGTCCAACAAGGAAGCATTCTTGGACCGCTTTTATTCATTATCTATGTGAATGTGAACAATTTACCCAATTGTATCAAGTCATGTAATATCTCTATGTATGAGAATGATACTGTCGTTTACTTTTCTTCAAAGACAGTCAAGGTATTGAATTAAAACGAGGATCATGAATGTGCCCCCAGAATGTGCCAATGCGAAGTCCAATTTTACTCGAGACATGCATACCCTGATCAATTTCAATACCTATGCTCTAGTAACACTCTGTTGTCTAGATGACATTGGTGTAGAGAGTTGATTAATAGAGGCCATTGTATAAAATAAACGAACGTTTTTCGCCGATATTTAACCAAAGAGATAGACAAGGCACGTTTAGCTGATCTACTGTATACTGTATATAGACCACGTAAAACTGTACTAGCTGTAGGGAGTTACATTAAACTGATCTTTTACTATAGATCACGTAAAACTGTACTAGCTGTAGGGAGCTACATTAAACGGATCTTTTACTCAGTAAATTATTCGCACCTTGACTCAGAGAACTTCTCACACGATCGAGTTGAATAACTTTGAGTTGTCCTCGCTGTAAACACTCAACCAACATTATACAACATTGTGTATAAGCAAAATAATGGTAGATTTCCTCCTAAAATTATAACAGAAACAATATTAAACAAGGATCCAGATGATTTAAATGTTACACACAAAACAGGCACATCAAATGCGGTTCAGAAATTGAGTGTTTACACTAATACAAGAAAATGTCAAGCCAAAGACCAGCTTTAAATATGTAAAAAGAGGTCATTACGAATTGAAGTTAATGAGTTTACGGCAACCAGGTATATAATCCATCGTAATTATCCATACTCTGGTTTTAATAAATGAAAGTAATCACCACACAAAGATTAACTTTCACGACCCAACGTTTCGACACTCCGGTCTAGTGTCTTCATCAGGGGTGATCTGACGTTAAAACTCGGTTCCTTATATACTCTCAAAATAATAATAATAATATAATAATAATATAATAATAAATGTCTTTATTTCTTCACAAGATAAAAAATACATATCTTATGTTACATTTAAGATTACAGGAAACAATTTAAAATACTAGATTATATTTAAAAATTACACGATTGATATAAGAATTTTTAAAACGATCTGTGTTAATCTTTGGAAAGTTACTAGATTTATTTCTTAGTTCGTATTTATTGACTTTCTTCTTTGGCAACAAGTTTCTTAACGGGTGCTGTTCAATTTGCCTGACCTTACTTTTCTATCTTGCTTTTCCAGCAATTCCTGCACACTAATTTCTTTCGAAATATATTTACGTTTATGACATCGTCTCAAAAAGCATTCAATTTTTGCAAGTTCGGGTTTGGAGGCACCATATACTGAAAGAGCATAAGTAATATTTGGTAAAACTAAGGTGGTAAATAAATGATCAATCTCTTTCTGATTATAGCCTTCTTTGCGCAGTGATCTTAAGATGAAGAGGCACTTATTGGCCTTTTTAAGTTTTTCATAAACATGAATTGTAAATCGGCTATCTTCCTGGAATGTAACTACCAACAACACGATAGATGGTGTTTGCGAGATGCCGGCGACCACAGGAAATATTTCAGTACAGCTTTTCTTTCGAATAATCAACTCTTTACATTTAGTAGGATTACTCTTCATACAATTACGACTTGACCACTCTAAAAACTGTAGAACCATCTCGTCAGAAGCATCGTTTTCTTTCCAGACTGGGGATATAATATTGGAATCATCCGCGTATTTAACCAACCCACACTCTGATGCTGATAATATCTCAAGATCATTAATAAAGACGTTGAACAATTGTGGGCCACTAACACTACCCTGAGTAGTTCCTTTATTCACTCGTGTCCAGGCACTAACAAATCCATTGCTGACAACTCTTTGTTCTCTATCTTTTAAGAAGCTAAGATACCAGTTGAATACGTATGGATTAAGATCAATTCGCCTCAATTTCTCCGATAATAAACTATGTTTTACGCTGTCGAAGGCCTTACTGAAATCCACGGCAAAAATACGAACAGCTTTACATTCTGGGTTATCAAGGTATTGATTAACAGTATGTTGAACCGCCACTAATGCATCAGTACAGCTACCACCCTTCCTATAGGCAAACTGAGATGCCTTCAAATGCTGTTCGATACAATCTTTAGCGTGCACTCTCAACACAATCTTTTCGAAAGCTCTTGCTATAACAGGTGTTATATTAATACCACGATAATCATTATTCTCCTTTGGTAACTCAACTTTTGCCAATGGATCGATGTTAGATCTTTTCCAAGAGACAGGCCAAGTATGTGTTTTGAGTGACAGATTCCACACTTTCGTCATTACAGGAGTTAATAGCTCAGCATGATCCTTCCAAACTGTATACGGTATCGAATCCGGACCCATAGCTGTTCTTTTAATAAGTTTAAGAGTATTCCACACTTGCCATTCATTAACCGTTGGAATTTCTACGTCATCACGAATGTCCTGCGGTTGTGGATTTTCTTAATTGTTATCTGTACACACATTGCCAAAATAAGTATTTAAGTCACGAAGTGAATTATGATCAAGGGGAGTAGCAGCTCTCTGACGGCGCCTCGATATATTGTCCACTCCTTTCCACCAATCCCGTGTACCAACATCCTGTAAAGATTTCTTTCTATTTTGGTTGATTACTGCTGAGATCCGTTTATTTAAAACAATCAAACGGTCTTTATTTCCTTTTGATATTCTTGATTTCACACGCAACATAACCTTTACTAGCGGGCTCATCCAGATCGGATCTCGTGAAGACATAGTCACAGTTCACAGGCATACATCGATCTAAATGGCCGTGTATAACTTTCTCTAGTTCATTCACTGCTTGATCAATATCGGTACTCAGAAAAACCTCAGTCCAGTTCTCCTGAGCTAGTGCCATATACAAGTCATTCTTGCGATGCTCCCTTTGATCACGAACTTGGATTTTCCTTCGTACAGGCGAAAGCTTTATTCCAGCTGGTAGTATAACGCCTTAATGGTCTGTTTTCGCCAACATATTGATGGGATAACATTTTCCAAATAAATCCGACAAATTGACTAAACAATTATCTAAACAACTATTTCCCCTCGTTGGAAAGTCAACTAGGGTCGTCCATCCTGATAATTCTTCCAAACGTTTGACATTTAATTTGTTTAGATCACCGCCACAGACAATAACTGTTCCCGGGAGATTATCTAATACATTATCCGCAAAGTTAACAATGTAGTTCATTATATCACCTTCAGGATAATTGTACTTAGGAGGATGATAAACACCACATATCAACATGTGCTGTCCTAAGGGCAAACGTATTGTTATGCAGATAACCTCATAATCAGTTGCTTTGTGAACATCAACAACCGTGATATTATTACAAATATATATCGCGGCACCACCCTCATTTCTCATGTCATTACCTGACCAATTTCTGTCCCTCCTGTATATAGAATAGTCTGGAATATTAACAATGGCATCAGGTTGTTCAGGTTTGAGATGCGTTTCGGATACCACACATACATCAATGTCATTATTCCGCAAATCAGCTTCAAGAGCTACGACAGCTCTGACTCTATTATTTGTCTTTGCGAGACTACATATATTAACAAACAAACATTTCGGAACCGCTGAATGTGGGCTAGTTGGTGATCTCGTCATTGCTTTCAATGCTTTACTGATCAGACATCTAGGCTTGACTTCCTTGCCACGAACATAGCTAGGTTTTGCAGCGCGACATGATTTGAATCGTTCCACGCAATGTTATGGTTAGTTTGACACACACGTGTTCCGCCAAGGCTGATTTTGAACTGTCTAAGTTCGAAACGGCCTTTTGATGTTCTTTTAAACGTGTGCCGAACTGGCGTTCACCTAAATATTCTTTCTCGCAATCACCACATGGCATAGAGTATACAGCAAGAGTTTTCTGTAGCAAAACCTGTTTTTGAGGAATCACCCTCTGAGGAATTGAATCTAGTCGGGACAGGGGATTTCAGACAATCATTTAAAAAGTTTCGTGGATAATTGTTCTCTCTCAGTACACTGAGGACATAATCACGTTCGTTGTCCCTAGCAACGCGATTGGATGTTAACGATTCAGCTAATTGAAACAAAGTTTTTGCAACAGACTTTTTATGACTTTTTGGATGGTATGAGTAGAAGGATAGATATTTGTCCGTATGTGTAGGTTTACGGTGAACATCAGTTTCTAACTGCCCTTCGATATTTGAATGAACATAAGTATCCAAAAAAGCCAACTTTCCCTCATTCTCGCGCTCTACAGTGAATTGAATTGATGGCTCAATAGAATTCAAATGTTTCAACAAATTATCGATCTCATTTTTGTTAACCACAGAGGCCACATCGTCAACACATCGTTTCCAAAACAAAGGTTTGACCGGACTAGAAGCTAAGGCTCTTTGCTCGACATCTTCCATTACTAGGTTAGCAATTACTGCCGAGACCGGGGATCCCATCGCTGTCTCAAAAACATGCAGGTAATAGTTGCATTCGAAAGTAAAATAAGTCGTATTGCGACAAAAGGATAAAAGATCGATTATATCCTCCACAGGTAACAATGTTCTTTGTGATAAAGAAACATCTTCTGTGAATCTTTTTTCAGCAACTTTGATGGCAAGATTGACAGGGATTTTGGTAAACAAGGAAACGACATCAAACGATACGAGCACTTGGTCTGCGTTTAGAGTTTCACCTGTAATAAATTCCGCGAAATGAGTGGAGTTTTTTACTGTGTAGACAGTATTCCCAACACTCCTACTGTTGCATTAAAACCCTTTCAGACACTGGGACATATTTTCGCAAAACCCAAGGATCGCGTAGCGACTAAACAGAAAACTCATGCTGTATACTCTATACCGTGTGGTGATTGGGAGAAAGAATATCTAGGTCAAACAAAACGCCAGTTCGGCACACGTTTAAAAGAACATCAAAAGGCCGTTTCGAACTTAGACATGCAGTTCAAAATCAGCCTTGGCGGAACACGTGTGTCAAACTAACCATAACATTGCGTGGAACGATTCAAAAGTCATTACCACTAATGATCGTTATGGACAAAGGCGTTGTTTGGAAACCTGGCATATTAATGTGAGTCTTTGTGCCCTAAATAGGGATGACGGAAGCTATTTGCCAAAATAATATTTACATCTGATTGATAGATGACGTCATCTTGAGAGTATATAAGGAACTGAGTTTCAACATCAGATCACCCCTGATGAAGACACTAGACCGGAGTGTCGAAACGTTGGGTCGTGAAAGTTAATCTTTGTGTGGTGATTACTTTCATTTAATAAAACCAGAGTAGCGATAATTACGAAAGAGGTCATTGTTGAAAATCTCTAAACAAATCGTACACACTTGGACTGTATATAATTTTACATTTATTCAGGAATCAACACTTTACAACAATTCACGCTCTAATCAAAACTAAATTACAACAATGATTTTAACCTATATTTATAACAACAAAACAGGATGCTTTACCAATCAATGATGCATTTCCCTGATGTAATATACATAACTGGTATGTATAGATAATTAAGCTTGGACAATAGAATTAGAACTGATTGACAGTTAGAGACAGACAA